TTTTTTTAATACTGATCTTTATGGTATTTAGTGTTTTCTAAAGACAATGGTCTTTCTCTTAGTATTATTTTAATAAAAATCCAATGAAAACTATAGAACTAATAGAATTTGAACGTGACTTACGCATAAAAAATTTTTTTTCAACTCAATTTTTGAAAAATGTCCAGAAGGTTTAAAAATTTTTAACATATATAAAATTTAGAGCTTTTGAAATGTAAAACAATTTTTAAAAAAATACTTTAAGATAATTGTTCTACTATGAGAATTTGGCCATCCAATAAAAAAAATTTTCAAGAAACAAAAAAAACCTTTATATTGTTTAAAGGATGTAGAAAAACAACGGCTTTAAGTTCTTTGTGTTACCAAACGATAGTAATTGATTGTTTAGCAAAAAATTAAAAGTAATTGAATACAGAAATTGAAAATTATAAATATAATAATTATTGTGACATTTAACAAATGTGCATGGAACCGTTTAAAATGATAGTGATGTTAATCATCGTCAGATATATATACTTGTACCAATTATGCCGCGACCCCTGTGTACTGGGTCTTTCTTAATTATTATTAATATTAGTCATGAATGATAGATTCTTAATATAATTTCATATTTGTTTTTCAATTAAAATACGTGTAGGTTTTTCTTCTTTCTAGATACAAGCAATAGCTTTAAGGGAACGTTAAAAAAACAAAACTTTTTGGTATCATGTTTATTAAATATTTAAAACTTTATGTACTCAAATAACATGAGTGTATCCACGAGGGAATATGGGATTAGAATATTTCCATGACGAAAATAAATACATCCTTAAGATGTACTTTAATAGAGTAGTAAAAAGATTTCTTATTTGAACCCCCACCAAGACAAAACAGAATAATCCTGTCAAACATAAAATAAGAATGAATAAAAATTTATATTGTAGTCAATATAAATGAAGATATGTTTGGGGATAGTCTATACATGATAAATACATCAATGGATATTTTCATAATACACTTAATTTGAAATACAGAGTTTAAATAAACAATAATAATAACAAAGATGAACTTTTCAGTTACAAAACAACATGCCTAAACTTTAACACATATTCTACTACGCCAATTTTCTACAGTTACCAATCTGACCTAAAATATATAGAAGAATGAATCTAAAAAAAACCCAGCACAGAGGAGTCGCGGCACAGTGGTGACGTGACATAGTTGGATCAAGTATAATGATATCTGACAGTGATTAAAATCACTACAAAAAAAACGCTTCGATGCGAATCTTTAGATAGTGTTTAATTTTAAAAAATTGGTGGATTATTCCAAAAGCTACATGATCTGCTATATCCTTATTAATATCCTGATTAAGATAAAGTATGTCGAATGAAAAAGGGATTATTAAAAAATATTATTTCTCATAAAAAAATTGTGTTGATCCATACACTTTTCAATAAGTTATAGCATTATAAAGTTAAAAATTTTAAAAATAAAATCGAGAATTTTCAAACAAAAATAGCATTCGGTAGCCATTTTCACCCTGAAGACAAAAGAAAGTCCGAAATTTTTTTTTTTTCATAATAAAATATAGTTTAAAGTTATCTTTAATTTAAGATATATATAAAAGTGTCAGACTTTCTGGAAAACTTTCAAAAGTTAAGTTGAAAAAGATCATTTTTTGTGAAAAAGTTGTCATTTTAAATCCCCCCTGTGAGCAGGTAAAGGGTTAAATTTATAAAAAAAAATATACCAAATTATAGGTAAAGACATCAAGCATCTATATAAAAAAAAAAATATAAAATGATTTGTTCATTTTTGAAAAAGTAATGGCAGTTTTAGGAAAAAAAAATTAAAAAAATTTCGAAAATTCGGCATTTTTAAATTTGTAATTTTTTTGGAGGTTTCCCCCATTTACGAGGGAAATTTTTTTAATTTTTGAGGGTATTTCTTCGACTAGATACGATTTGTGATCTTTTGACGTGTCGTTGAAAAAAATCCGTTCGGTGAGAGCTGAGAAAAAGTGGTAACAGACAAAAAAAAAACATCATAATAAAATCGATACCTTCTCAGCTTCGCATCGAAGCTAAAATCAAATCATACCAGTATTAAGAATTACATTAGAAATGTTAGGTATTACGCTCTAGGCTTGACCTACTTGATATATTTTATAATTTGTCAATGTCAATACTCATAACAAAAAATTACGAAAATTAATTTTAACTTGTATGAAAATAAAAATGATTAAAATAATAACCATTATTCAAATTATTATTTATTATAAAAAAAGGAAAATTTACACAGGTTAATATGGCGAGTAACTCATACAATGCATTATAATTTATAATGTACTCTAAATAGATAGGATTGATTATAACTCGAAGGTTAAATAATTCCAATACAATGGAATTTAATAATACCTTTCCTTATAAAATTCCAAATGTATAAAACATATTTTTACAGTTAAATGGCAAGTAAGCGGAATTAACGTCAATTATGTTCTGTTTGATTTAAACATAATTGTTATGTTATACACTTTATAAGGCATATTTAATTAGCAAACATATTTTAAAAAGATAGGTAAGAAAAAAATTATACACAATGTTTTATGTTCGTGTATCATGTAACTTACAAATGCAATACATCATTAAAAAAAAAATACAATGATATTATTGTCAATTTTATAGAATTTGTAATTGATAGATGATTTACAACAATAATTTAATATTTTTTTTAGCAAAAAAAAGTAATTGAAATCATAAAAATATTAAATCTATTATGAAATATTGATTTTGGTGTGTACTATAAAAATAATTTTCAAGGTTACACTTATACCCATTCGTATTTTATGGCTAATTAAAGTTTTTATTTTACCCACTAAACATTTTAAGTGTCTTTTACAAGATAAAGCAATATTATATATTTTATTTAGTAGTTAATATAAAATAATTTGGAGTCTTCCAAAGTGGCTCAAACAAAATTTATAAATGCAATTTTTAGTCCTAACAATCGATATTTTTACAATGGGAATTTTTTAAAATATAAAATAAAATCGTTAACTACTGAGTAAATAATAAAATAATTATCCCCGAAAAGAAAATTGTACACTAGGGATATTTGATTTTAATTATTGAATCTACGCATATGGTTATTTTTAAATCAAACATCGTATCATATTATGCTAAAACCGCCAGTAAAATAAAAATGTACTCAAGGTTATGATAAACAATAAATTAGTGAATAAATATTCATGATTGCAGCCATATGTAAAGCATACATTTTAAATTTAATTAATTATACGTATTTTTTTCTAGATAGGAGCAAATGATTTTTTTAAATTATAAAACTACAAAAACAAAATACCTGTATGGAAGAAAATTTTGTTTTGGTTAAAAAATGAAAATTTTTTTTCTTACATTATAAATGGAAATGTTTAAATAAAAGATGTTCTTTAAATAAATTCAATGAAATCTTTTAAATTTTACATAATTTAAAAACAAAAAAAAGGACATTGCTATTTTACAATTACTTTAAAAGGAATTAAAAATTTTTAAAAAAAGTTTAAGATTTTAATTTGTAATATTTATACTCATATCATGGTTGTTATAAATTTAAAATTTGCAAAATTCCTTATGTATCCACGATTTTCTGTCAATTTTTTTAAGAAATTCCATACTTGACTTAAAGGAGCAAAGGTATACATATAGAGGGCGATTGACTTTAACAACCTTCAGATTTTTATTGTGATTTGTTTTACCAATTGATATTTTGGACATTTTTTTTTTCACGGCAAGCATATTTAGGGGACTGCTTTAGGATTGTCATTAGAATTAATTTAGGGCGGGATATTTTGGAATTAAATGGAGTTTAACACCCCTTAATCTACCTTTATCCTTACACAGAGGCGTAAGTATGTATCTATCTCTATATATAAATAAATAACTAAAATTTTCATAATTTCTTTGACCATTTAAAAAACTCCTAACTTTTCAAGGTTTTTCAGATTTGTAGCAACCGTACCAAATAGTATATATTTGATTTATAAGTTCAGTTGAGAGAATATTTAATTCAATACTAATTTTATAATTCTAAAATTTTAATTGATGCTAATAATAACAAAAGAGATACGGTGATTTTTAATAATAAAATAAAACAAATTTTACTACAAAACTACTAAAGTTTTTATCTTGTTATCTTAATACTTTAAGACAAATATGCTTTAAGAGGGGTTAATCTGAAATAAACATCATCTTGAAAATATACATGACTTTAGTCACATACACCATTCTATTATTATTGATATATCAATAATCATAAATTTGAGTATTAATTAGATACTATAGAATCTATCTGATGCTTGATAACAATCTTAATAAATCACACTATATATTGTACTATCAAGATATTAAATGTAGTAAATCAAAAAATGTTAATTTTACGTTATTAATATCTTAATGGTGCAACACTTTATAAAGTAAAAAAAATACAACATTTCTGACAATTGCATAGTTAACAGTGATTTTTTAAGAGCTTCTTAAGTTTTCTAGAATTCCATTCCACCTACCCTACCAAAAACCAATAAAAAAAATTCAGATGACCATACTAGTGACATAACCAGAATTTTTTTTAGAGGAAATATAGTTTCAAATCATATTAATGACCTTTTTTGTTCTAAAAATTACTAGAAACTAATAAATAATTTTTTATTTTAAGGAGAGGGATAAAACAAGATAAATTTTTTTTACCTTTATATACAAAAATTATGAAGCTTTGTCATAATTTTTTTTGCCATATTTAAATATTTAAATATTTAAATATGCCATATATTAAGACAATATTAATGATTTATATTAATAATTTTAAATTTATATTAATCTATATAGAATAATTTTTTTTATCACCACTAAAAAGCTTGTAAAATTAATAATATGAGTTTTTAAATTAGATTTTGTAAGTTAATTATAATTTTTAAATTTATTAATTAATAATCACATAATATATATAATTGACTACAAAACAATATATAGATGTTTGACAATGTACTTGTTATTTTTTTAAAAAAAATGTCAGTTTTAGAAAAAAATTAATTGATAATACACTAATATTGGATATCATGAATGCCATCATTGAGCCTTTATTAAAATTCATTTTTAGTTATTAGCTTTAGTTTAGCATTAAATTAAAAAATAATAGTAATTGATTCTCACAAATTTATTGAAGATAAAATGATAGAAAAGTCAGCTCAAAACATAAGATAAATTAAATTAGGAAATAGTAAAACAGATACACTATTTAATGAAAATTATTCTGTTTAACTTTTTTGATAATGATAAGACAATTAATTGAAATACATTTAAATAACCATATGTATACACATACTATAAGATATATTGTAGTATTAACATATTATGCTAATTTTAAACTGCTATCTCATACAAATTAAAGTAAATAACATTTTATGTGAAGTAATTAAAATATATATAGTTATTATGCAGTGTTCCTAGAACAAATTAATTATAACAAGAATATATTGAATCATTTATACGCTATTTAAATTATTCAAAAAAATAAACTAAATAGGCCAAAAGAATTTTTACAGCCTTTATTAACTTATTATTCACTATGTACAGTTGAAATGAAGAAATAATTTCTTAGTTGTCAAGCTTATTGGATTAAGTTTAATTGAGAATAATAATAAAAAGAAAATATAATACTTACACTAGTAGTTTGTGTATTGAGTAAAGTTTTGCATACATCTAATGGAGTTGTTACAGCAGCAGCCAATCCACCAGCTACCCCACCTGATATCATGTGATATAAAGGATTGTATATTCTATCAGGATTTAAAAAATTTTGACAATGTTCATAAGTCATAAAATGAACTACTTGAAATGGTGCATTCATACATAATTGCACTAAATATGAGCGATAAAACGCTCCGATTCCTTCTGCTCGCCATACAGAGCTAACACAGTTTAAAATACCATTGTAGGGTGAGTTAGACATTTGTAAACGTTGTTTTACAACTACAATAAAATTAACAATTAAAACAATTAAATATGTAGATATATATTGAGTTAAAATTGCTTACCATCAGTTGGTGTCATGATTGCATCATGAATAATAGTAGATGCACATCCAGCAATACCAGAAGATAAGGTGATACTTAATGAAGTTTGATGTGAAATTTTTTGTTTAAGATGTTCATAAGAAGCAAAATAAAGCGCATGAGCGGGTCCAGCTCCAATAACCACAGTTCCCATTCCTCGTATTGGTCTCAAATATCCTTCTTGTTTTATCATATCAATAAAAATACTAGATATTCCTCGTCCACCAACAGTATTATTTGGAATAAACGCTTGCATTCGAGTCTAAAAAACATATTAAAGATATCAATGGATTGTTTACAATAATAAATTAAAATTAACGAGAAATTTATTACAATAGATTAATTTAAATTGTCTAGGTTCAGTGTCACATGATCTTCTAACATATTTAATAACTTTTGATCTATTAAATATTTTTGGTCACTTTTACTTAAACAATTTTTACATTTTTGGATTACATATTCTTTAATATTTATCTTTTAAAAGATAAAAACAAATATTTTTTTTAATTAAGAAGCTCTCTTAGCATTTTTCTTAAAAAAAAATTTGGATAGATCAATAATATTTTTAGTATAAATACTAGTTGGGTATATAACATAGGTGAAGGCACTAATAATAGTTAAAAATTTATGAAGAAAACATAAAAATTAATTTTAATGTACATTAAATACAAAAATTGAATTTTATTTATAAGGTAAATTGTAGAGAAGTTTATTTAGTTTTATTGTTAATGAAACACTTTGATGAAAACTGAACATGGCATATATAAAAATGTACAAAAATCACTTAACAAAATCATTTTTAAAATTATTTCCACGCTAACATTCAAAAATTCTAGTAACAAGATCAGGGGTTTCATAGAACTATCCCATCAAATAGTTTTAGATCTTCCAGAAAATATGAAGTGATTTCTGTGCCATTCATGTCTGAAAAGAGAAATCTAAATAATTTAAGTCACTTTAAATATTAATGAGCATTTTATCTTCTGAAAGAAACTTTTTATGAATAAATATACTGATTCATAAATTAAAGTTTGAATTTTTTTATTTCATAAATATTATACAATATCATAGAATAGAATATAATAAGTTATTATCAATTTAATGTTTTTTAAAATGTTCAGTAAGGACCTAATTACTTGTAAAATTAAGCTTGATAAAAAATTGAATTGTGTAATGGTTATATGAATATTTATCAATTAACATTAAGTTAATAGATAGATAAAAAAATATATTAATTACATTACAATTAAACATTTCATTTGCAATACTTCAATTTCAAAGAATATTAGGAAATATACTATTGATTTAATGACAATTTAAACATATTTTAAGAGTAATAATACGGATTATTTATAATTTTATAAAATACAGTAAGTATTTATTAATTACCTTTACAGAATCTAGAGGATACATAACACAATGTTCCATTATTCCAGCAATAGCACCAGCCATCATGTGATCTGTCACATTGGATGTTGGTAGAGACTCATAATCATCAAAACTCATAATAAGTAATTAATGTAAAAAATAAATATAAATAATTTTTTAATATAAAATTGTGATCTAAGTTAATAAACTAAAAAGTGAAAGTGTAGTCACTTAAAGACTGTTGTCTGTTGCCCCGAGTATGGTTTTACATGACTTAGAAATGAAGTTGGTAATGTACTTTTGCAATTGATTATAATGGGTTTCCAAANGTAATGTACTTTTGCAATTGATTATAATGGGTTTCCAAAATTTTACCGAATCTTAAATACATAGAATTCTATAATTTTTAATGGCTTTAAAATGTAAATATTATTAAAATCCAGAAAAATGTATTTACATTATACTCAAATAACTCAATAATAGAAGAATCATACCATTGTATAATTTTACCTAACAACTTCATGAATATAAAACAAAATAATTAATCAAAATCTAGTAAGGCTCCTCAATTAGAATAGTATATCAGCTGATAAAAAAAATTTACAAAAGACCTTGACAGTGTTATCATTAACCATGTGTTAGAATGATATTCATTAAAAAGTATATGGATTTGTTATCATACAATCATCCGCGTGATAGTTAACCGGCTTATAATAATGATAATGTCTTTGAGCAATATTATCTGATAATATTAAAAAATAATAAATATGTATGATAACATTATCAAAATATATTGTGAATATTTTACCTAGAAGTTCACTAGTCGTTAACTACTATCCAAAAGAGTTATCCTTATAGATTTATAAAAAATTAAGCTTTGTCAATATGAATTCACATTTTATAAATGAGATTTCTAAATAATACAAAAATTCACTCTTGTAAGTATGAATCTTGCTAAAATTATCACAAATATTGATACTTTTTATTGAATATTCTTTGGAAAAATAGAAATCCGAGTTAAAAAAATGTACTAATGTGATAGTTTTACTAGAAATGTATGTACTAATAAATTATTTTACTAAAAATTATTTTAAGTTACTCAATAATTGAGAAACCAAGATTGAATAGCTCTGTTATTTATTTATTTTTTTAAATTGTTTATATTTGTACAAAAACAAAACAATTTTGGCACACATCCTGCTCAAATGTCCNATTTATTTTTTTAAATTGTTTATATTTGTACAAAAACAAAACAAATTTGGTACACATCCTGCTCAAATGTCTTAAGAGCATGAACATCTTTGCATTTAACTTCAAATATTATAACAAAACAATTATTAAGTGATTAATGCTAAATTTATGTTTATAAAAAAATTCAGTTTTGTCAGATAAAAATAGTGGGTTCAGCTTATTATAAAATCCTACATTTATGGAATACCATTAAATCTCATTTGACTTTTAAATTATGAACAGTGTAAGAGCTCTGCAATTTCTTGTGGTAGCAATTTTATTCAGTAGTATTTTGGTATTATTGACAATACAACTCAATTATACCCCTTTACATTAATGTTCTTCGTGACCAAAAGAATACTTGGTATTTGGAGGTGATTTACTTGTAAGCTATTCAAAACCACTTAGAATCGAGGAAATTAAATGTCTTATCGTATTTTGGTGTGAATATTAATAAATATATAATATATGAATATTTGACAAATGTAATGTATCTGACTCAGTAATTAACATTCACTTTTTAAGGTATAGATTAATGGTGATTACTGCAGAATATTCAATGTAATTTGATTTTAAGTTCATAATTAATGGTTTTCACATTCTGCTCAGAAAATATAATTAAGTTTTTAAATTGTACTTAAATAAATAAAAGTAAATAAAAATAAAAATTTAATATAAAGTTAGGCAAGTAAGTCATTTACTATTTTAAGTTAAGGTACTTTAATATAAAAACTAATTAAGTTAAAATAGAAGCTAGTTTTTGGATTTTTCCAAATTTCCAATTTAATTAGATGTTACTATATTTTTATAGTTTAAAAATAAATTTAAACGCTTGTTTATTCAAATATATTACTTATATAGCTACATAAATTATAAAAATATTATTTAAAACTATTCATCAGATGTATATTCATGTTTATCATCAAATAATTGGCATTCTGCAGTAAAAAAATGTCTAGATATGAGCGCTAGAAGAAATACTTGTATTTTATCTAATGTATAATTTTTGTATATCTCTTGAAAACGCTCTTAATGATAGTTTAGGAGAAAAATATTTTGAGTATTCATTAAATATATTTTAAATTTCATCTGTGATATCATTTATATCATCAAGCTTGCTTTTAAGCTATTTTTTATCTCATTAACTATTTTTACTTCAGTCCAATTCTATTTATACTTTGGTTCTAAAATTGCTGCTAATTTGAATTCATATGAGTCAAAATATGCACCTTTAAATTAAATGTTTAATAAATTATACAAGCAATTTTTTTTAATTTTAATATTAAATTATTTTTTATTACCGATTTTTTAATTCACTGATGAATACTTCAACTAATGGTATGCAATATTTTAGATTTCAATGTAATAAATGTTAATCTAATGACTATTTTACTGCTGTTAATGTAGAAAGAAAATAACCAATGGAATTATATTTTTCTCCTTGTAGTATATCCAAAGCTTTTGCAGGAGGTTTCATTACCTAGATAAATAATTTATCTACTTTAAATAAAATCTTTTATGTAAAAAATTAATACTCGTCAGTCGTCTTATGTATGTACATAATATATTATTAATAATATAGGTAAACAGCAAAACTCTACAATACCAATATCATGACAATTCAGTATCATTTCAAATATACAAAATAGTCAATATTAATTATTAACACATTATAACTAGTTATATTTATCTCTAAAAAGTTAGATTAGAATTATTATACACAATC